ATCTTCGTCTGTCTATCTGTAAACATCTTCGTCTATCTACCTGTAAACATCTTCGTCTGTCTACTTGTAAACATCTTCGTCTGTCTACTTGTAAACATCTTCGTCTGTCTATCTATAAATATCTTCGTCTATCTACCTGTAAACATCTTCGTCTGTCTACTTGTAAACATCTTCGTCTGTCTACTTGTAAACATCTTCGTCTGTCTACCTGTAAACATCTTCGTCTGTCTACCGGTAAACATCTTCGTCTGTCTACCTGTAAACATCTTCGTAGGAGTTTCCATAAATAAAAAGTCCCGTCAGAGCCGTGTGCGCATGAACATCCAAAACCTGTAATTATATTATGTACTGCTTGGAAACCCAGCTTTGCGTGAAGTTTTACGCGTAAAAGTCAATCCACTCAATTTAGAATGTTTAACCCAAGCGCAGCTAAAAAACGTTTCCGTGGTTCTAACGAGTTTCTAATCAAAACTAGAGGCACATCTGTCAAGGGGTTAGCAAGATATGATCGGACATACACACACACAGACAGACAAACAGAGATTAATACGTTATTTCTATATGTTTTATGTAAATTAGGACAGTTGTGGAGTAAATGCCGCAAATTATTTGAAAGATTAGAGACGACCTTTAAAGAGAGTGTTTGCTTCGCGTATAATAATTTTCTCCTTAAATACACAACTGCAGTGTCTAGATTAAGTAGTCTTACTTTGAAATATCTAATGTCTCATTGTAAAGCGGATTGCAAAACAATATGGATAAGAAAATTGCAATTTGAAGAGATTTATCCGTTCTTTTGTTTTTTATTCATCTTTATTTACCATGTCAAGCTTATAGGTTGGATGATTATCATAGTAGAGCAATTGTTTTTTTAGTTGATCAAGTTCAGGGTGCAATAATCTATACAATACAGTTCATCTACAAATATGGAGGAGATTTTAGTAGTTTTCAAGCAAGGACAAGGAATAATCTATATAATACAGTTCATCTACAAATATGGAGGAGATTTGAGTAGTTTTCAAGCAAGGATAAGGAATAATCTATATAATACAGTTCATCTACAAATATGGAGGAGATTTGAGAAGTTTTCAAGCAAGGATAAGCAATAATCTATACAATACAGTTCATCTACAAATATGGAGGAGATTTTAGTAGTTTTCAAGCAAGGACAAGGAATAATCTATACAATACAGTTCATCTACAAATATGGAGGAGATTTTAGTAGTTTTCAAGCAAGGACAAGGAATAATCTATATAATACAGTTCATCTACAAATATGGAGGAGATTTGAGTAGTTTTCAAGCAAGGATAAGGAATAATCTATACCATACAGTTCATCTAAAAATATGGAGGATATTTGAGTAGTTTTCAAGCAAGGACAAGGAAGTTAATTGACAGAATTTCTTTCTGAAAAGAACAAAAAAGAAAGAGGATGAGGATGAGGATGAGGATGAGGATGAGGATGAGGATGAGGATGAACAATATTCCTTTGAGTATCTGCCCAGGCTCTATTTAGATCTTGTCCCAACAGATTGCACCTAAACAAACAAATAAAACATTAGGAACAGCGTAATTATATTCCCATCCCTCTAGCCATACCCTCCGGACCCACAAACCACTATTTTTTTTAGATAACTCTCTAGTAAGCTAGATGAACAATATTTACCTCTGGTTTCCTATAAAACTCTCTAGTAAAATGAACAATATTTACCTCTGGTTACCTAGAAAAACGCCGACTGGGTTTAGCATTGGAACAATCTTGAACACTATATGTTCCCTAGTCAGTTCAATAGTTTAACTGTTTCTTCACGCATAATATATTCTAAAGGGACAGTTTGTGAATTTGAGGGAATTAATCGCAAAAACAAATTTCAATAACTTTGGAGAAAACATTAAATCTAAAGAACCGAACGGGCTCAATTTTTTGTTGCAACTCACATGACCCAAAACAAAATTGTTACAAGAAAATTTCGCGCCTTTAAAAGCCTTGTAAATAAGAATAGGCGAAATTTTAAAATTATTGATCTTTTAAAGTCATTCACCATTCATAAATATTGGTTTATTATCTAAAACTATGTTATCATCAATATTTAACATCATTCACTTTAACAGCCGTGTCTAATTGTGAAATATAGAAATATAAATCATTAAACTATTTTTCCTTAAACATATTGCAACCTCATGAGAGCTTGTAAGAAAATCAATAAAACCCTAAAATTAATAAATAATTAATATTAAAACAAACTACAGGGGTCCACAAAATAATATGGCAAAAAGCGATAACATTTAAACTATAGAGTAAATTCCATTAAAGTCACAGTAAAAAGTCTTTTGTTAGAGCGACTTTTTTATTTTGATTTTTTCCCCCGTGTTTTTATTTGACTGACCTCAGGACCTGAACAGTTTTTTTTTATAAACTTTCTTTCCCATAACTTTTTAGATGGATTTTTAAAATAAACATTGTGTGAAAATTAAACCATGGTGATGAGAGTTGTAGTAACTACAGTCGACAGGGTTACCCACAAAAAATGAGACTTCGGAGACGACTGCACGAAATGTATACTCATTGTTTCTTTCTGTACAGGGTTCCCTAAAACTGCAAACTTTTCTCTCTCTTATCCAAATCATTTAATAAGCCATTTAAGACTATCTTCAATGCAGAAAATTTGATTTAACCTTGGAATCGTCGTCTATACAGTCTCATCCTTTGTGGGTAACCCTGTATAAAAAAGGACTGCACACTGTATAAGTTTTGCGGACCCAAATCATAAAACAATGTTGAAAAAATATTTTTTAAATTATTTATCCATAATTCCTGAATTACAAAAGATGAAGGAGTTTCCCCAGGATGTACACGGCCCAATATGAAGACGACTTTCACTTTTCTAAACAAAATTCTTTTTATTTAAACATTATAGATTAGCTTAGAGTAAAGATTAATATAATCTTCAGCGCGCTATCCAGGATAGTAATCGCACACAAGGGAGAAATGAAATGAAAACAGAGCTGAAAACTTTAGAATGCACGTCCCACCGGTGTACATTAGAATATCCGAGCTGGGCCAACCTTTGCAGTCCTACTTTGAACTGTACCGCCAATTTACAATTACTAAAGCGGCAGAGGACTGTGAATGGTGGATATCAAGAATAATGCTTAAACTCCTGGTTTTACTAAAACAATATTATTTTAAAAAGCATTCGATATCCAAGAAAGAAGTTAAAAATTTAACAAATTAGCGTGTCATGTTAATTGATGTACTCTTTAACTTTTGGTGTTGATGGTGTCATATCAATTGAACTAAACATCGATTGAACGAACGTAAGTTTTGGATTAATATGTTTATTAAGACTAACGTTCAAGATTACAATAGTCCTAAAATATGTTCTTTAATAATTTCATATTAACATGATTAAATTAATATTTGTATAAATGCTCTAAAGCCGGCTTGTGAGTAGAGCTGACTTTAATTCAATCGGATATTAGTCCAATCGATATAGCATTGTATCTGTAAGTGTTATCAAACACAACTTTTATACAGTAGAAATATCCAAAAAGAGGATTATAAGAAAAAAATCAAAAGTGTGTACATCGGATAATCAGATTAAGCGATCGTGATTAGGGATATCTTATTCCAAAGTTTTCAGCTCAGTAAGATTTAATCGGTGATCCTCAAATTAAAAGTACCCTCTATTATTTTGTTGAGATTTATTTTTCTATAATGGATAAATAGAAACACTTACCGAGGATTATCTCCGTCATGTTGTATTCTATATTCATTTAACCAGTTCAAACCAGTTTTATTATTAATATAGTCAACCCAAATTATTGCAAGCTTCACGACCTTTTATGAATGGAAAACATCCGATTAATTTGATAAATTTGATCCAGTTCTGTCTTTAAAAACTAGAAAAAAACGTAATTCTACTTAAAGGGTCTGTAAACATATAAGTTTAAAATGACCTTCATTTTTACGTATCTAGCTGAACTTTTTTCTTTCTCTCTTTGTGATGTTTCTAGATAAAATTGAGTCTAGGATTAATGAAAGAAAATATAATCCAAGAAAAAAAATTAATCAAATGAATCTCAGTTAATAAAAAAAAACTATTGTTTACTTAAGACTTAAAAAATTGATTTCTATTTAAATTTTGCTTTTATTTGGAATATTGTGATTTAGATATAACACTTGATATCGTCTTTTCAAGAGTTAGGCGTTTTTCCTTCATAATAGCCCTGAGGCAGAGACCCAAAGAAGAATTACGCGTTTACCAAGAGCTAAATTACAAGACAGACAAAGAGCATGCTGCGCGTAACTCCTTTGGGCCTAGGCACACAAGTTTTTACCTCTGTTCAATTTAAGTTTCTTAAAGGGAGTGACCGGCTTTTGTAAGGTAGTTGAACTGAGTATGCACTGTTGTGAAAAACTTCTTTCGGATTCATTTGAATCACATTAACTTTTTTAAGATCTGTAAATCTGCAAATTCGACGTTCAAAACTCCTACTTTGGGGTGGATGCGTTTCCAGAATTAGTTTTTTTTTATTATTTAATAACGACGACATAAAATGTAAGAAAGTTCTACAGACGTCATGTATAGGAACATGTTAAGAAAATAAAAATTATTCTTATCATCGAATATAAGTAATCTTGTTCAATTATTAGTTTATATTTTCTCATTATTCTGGTTTCTCATTATTCACAAAGATTTTCCGCAGATTTTCTAGAATTATTATTGAAAAGACGACATTTGAAGAATTTTAAGAAATCTGCGAATAAATTCAAAGAAAATAAGAAATTCAATATAATTATGAAAACGAAATAATCTTTAGAGAAATATGTTCCTAACCATCTAATTAGATTACTGTATAATTTTTACTTTATTTTTTGTTGTCGTTAATTAATAATTTAAAAAAAACTAATTCTGAAAACGTATCCACCCCCAAAGTAGGAGTTTTGAACGTCGAATTTGCGCTTAAGCTCAGAATTTAGTTTACAGATCTTTTAAAAATATGTCTCAAATGAATTCGAAAGAAGTTTTCCAGAACACTGCATACTCAGTACCTTACATAGCCGGTCACTCCCTTTAAGGAAGAATAAACACGAATGCCCATAAAGGATGATACTTTCTTAAAATATAAAAAAAAATTATGGCATTGTTGACGTAATTTCAAATGACTCTTAATTTATAAAATTATATTTACAAGGACAGTCCCTTATGCATGTTTGATTCGGACTTCATATGCTTTGCTAGGCCAGGCATAAAGGTAAATACGTAGATCTGTTAATTAGATTTAAACCAGTATAAAACGGACTGCTAAACAGCTTCCCCAGGCTGCAGGCTAACTATAGGCCTATATAGTCGTACCGTAAAGACATGCTACATTTTCACAAACAGGTTTTTGACTGACATCTAACGGCATCTTGTGCAAATAATATCCAATCAGGGGTTAAGTTTTTCAATTTTTAAAGAAACATAAGGAAACTTTTAACAGAAAATACAAAATTGATGAATTTAGTTTATTTTGAAGATTTTGTATTATACGTATCCAAAGTATTCTTACAAATCCTGAGGATGTTTTCTAATTGGTATTGTACTCCAGTCCTTGTAGAAAATATAGAAAATCTCTGTACTCTCTTATCTCTGTGTAAAACTGGTAAACAATAATTGTAAGAAGAAAGACATCTTAAAATCTGAAAAGTCCTTTCTTAATTCTCCCTTTGTGGGTAACCCTGTATAAACGGATCTTGTATAATACATATTCCAAGCTGTAGTAATCAAGAGGACTGATTTAAATCGTTTCTAATGATACAACATTTTTGGAAGTATATGTTAGCCAATAGCCACACCTCGAAAGGTGTTAATCCATTTCGACGGATTAAAATATGTTCCTCCGATTTAAAAGTCTCGAGCTTGTTTTTCTCCAATAAATCAAAAATAAATAAAGCTAGTTTTCCTGTGTAAAAGATTGTTAGGATGAGATATTGTTATGAGATCTATTTCTCGCTCCATAACACTTAACCCCAGAACATCTCTAAATGTAGAAAACAAATATAAAAAACAGAAAAGTTTAAAGAATGTAAGCTTTCATTTGATTTGAAACTTTTTAAGAAAAAAGGCCTAAAAGTTGAGGTGTTATTAGGCTGATCTTTTTATATAATTAAGTTTTTGAAATTGTATCAGACCTCTAAATGGAAAAGTTAAGGTCCTCAGGAGGAATTGAAAAAAAAACATTTCTTTAATGTTACTGATAATTTTTAAACTCTGATTTTCTGATCCCCTATATTTTTGCAACCCAATGTCAAAGACCTTAGATATTTCAAACTATGAATTCTGTACGATCAAATAATCTTATTTTGAAGCTGCAAGGTGTAACCATCAGTTTGTAAAGATTTAGAGATTAGAAATCTTGAGTTTGTGGCAAAGACTCATTAAATTCCTTTTGGCAATTTATGGAATTTAACATCACACCATTCACAAAGTTCTTTATGATAATTGTTTATGATTGACAACTTATGTTACAGTTACCTGTGTATAAATTTATAAGAGTTTGAGAATAGATTTTGAAGATACAGAAGATGTCTAAAAATTTGGACAATAATTATTCAAAATTTTCAATTTTAAAGAAAATTTACTTTGAATTTCTAGTGACCCTTGGTATAATTTTTATTTAAAAGTGTCTAGCGGATTTGAACAGAATAGACAATGTAGAAAATTAAAAGAATTTATGCATAGATAAATAAATAAACATAGATAGCTTATGTACGCAAAATCACCAAGAATTGTACAGTCCGCGAACTCATACTTCTAGGGGTCAAAGTGTAAAAATTAAGAGAATTAAGAGCTGAGGGTACCATTGCAATTCGGCCTTTTTTATAAATTCCTTGATCGCCTTTTATAAATTCCTTGATCCAATCAAAGCAACCAAATTAATTTCACTAAGATGGGATCATTTATTCGGTATACTGTCCAGTTTTTACATTGTATATGTATATATGTATTTTTATTATAAACATTACTCTAGATGCTTAGAGGTCGGCTCGGTACTTCAATTGCACCGCAATTTAAATAAAGAATAATCTTGCTCCTTGAGTAGGAATAGGGTTGACACATGGCAAACTGATAAACCTAAACATAAAAATTATATTAAAACAAAATTACGAAATATTTGAACTTCATCTAAACGCAATTCAAATTCGTAAAATTCAGCCTCAGGGAAATTTTATTGATTTTGACTTTTAATTGCTGCTTTATCTGCGGCAATTTCTCATTCAAAATTATTAAACAAAAACAACAGAATTTTTGAGAATTTTTTGATATTTTTTCATGGATTTTCAAAAATCTAAATTTGATCATTTATAATCCTTTCCTGGAATGATGTGAGGCTCTACAAAAAATTGGGCCTTTGCGTTGATTCTTGAATTAATGCCTAGATTCCTAATTTAAGAAACCATTCAAGAACTTTTTTTCATGTTATATTAAATATTGAAGAAACCAAAGAACGATTTATTTTGAAACCTAAGTCCACAAAAGAGCCCATAAAATATATTAGATCTGTGGTTATTTTTTATTTCAACCCCTTATTATTGAAGAAATCAAGAAACCTTTGAAAAATTAGGTTAAGTCTGGAGAAAACCTAAAATTTTGAAGTTATAATTCAAAACTCAATTTAACAAGGATTAGAAAACTTCTGTTTCGAATGGAAGTTATATTCAATTAAAACAAGTTATGTTCAGTTTTACCAATAGAATAAAATCGATTTTTCTATGTTTCCCGATTTAATTCAAATCTAAAATGTACCAATGATATAACAAAGGAAAACAAATTCTTGTAGATTCGACGGAATTTCAAGTGACCCATCATTTATAAGAAAATGACGGAATACGAAATGTTAAAAACAAAAATAAACGAAAATATTATTATATTCCTACACAAACAAAGGTGTACAGGATACCGTTGTGAATCGGCCATGCAACTCACTAATCTTAGGATCACTTGAAATTATGTTGACAAACAAATTTTAAATATAATTTTGTTAGTTTGTTCTATATCCTCACCTCTCCCTCTAGATCAAAGGAGAATGCCCAGCTAAGAACATAATTCTTATTATGAAGTGGGGATCTAAACAATAAAAAAATTATTAAAAAATGTTTTTAAAAAATTTGAAAAGTTTAATTGACGAGAAAAAAACTTGGCATAATTATAAAGTTTAGTTAAAAAATTAAGAAAAAATTTTTTCACAAGAAAACTTCCATAGTTTCCCAATTTTTTATAATTTCTAACTTTTTTATTGTTGTTTTTACAAGGTTTCTTGTGGTATAATAATCAAATCTATTTTATTACAAGTAATTATGTCCCGTCAAAACATCGAAAAAAAAATTCCTAAACCAAAACTAATTCAAAATACAGGGCCTGGCACGAATTCTACATTCTTAGTTACATCAAATGTATACTGTTTTTTCGTCGCCCAATCTTTAATCAAAAGCGTATTCCCGATTTACAACGGTACCCTTTAAAGCAGAAATCAGCAAGTCACAATTATAAAAAATCAAATTTCAAAAATAGAAACATTGATCATAAAATCTTGATCAGCATTGAAGGGTGCCGTTGTGAATCGGACTGGTCTTTATAAAGGAGAGTCACTTGAATATAAATGTTACATGTTAAAAACACTTAAAAATGGTTTAAAATTAAAATTAATACTTTGTCATCAAGCTTAAGATTGTTAAACTGGGCGCCCTAATTCTTTATACATATGGGAGTTCAGTGACGAAATTGATGTCATCTTCGATGTTTAAAGATGTATTTTTGGAACATTTTGAATGAATTGAATTGAATGAATGAATTTTGAATAATGTACGATGCCTAAATATTTACAAAATATGGTCTACCGGCTTCGTACAGTGGTAATATCAACACAATGAAGACCACTTTTTAAATTAAGTTTGAATTGTTACAAGCTTATTCCAAAATACAATTGTTTACACGTAATCAAAGAGAAGCTTTTTTGATAGACAGCTTCTCTTGACTTCTATGTTTGTGTGTATCCATGCTGTTTGAAGAGGGGAGGAAGGCCAGCCACAACAATTTCTCGTCCGAGCCACGTTCTCCTCATTTTCTCGTCCGAGCCACCTCGGAATCCTCTTCCTTCGATTATTTTGTGTTAAAACGTTTCCAATTATTGAAGATAAAACTATTTTTTGAAAATCTGGCCACGTTAGGGCATAAAATATGCATGAACTAAAGTATTGCAATGATTATTGTAAACCCACCAAAGATGTATATAGATTGTATACTGTATCATAGTTCATTCAACCCAAGCCTTATCATCAGTTGAAGACTGGGTAAATGAATAACAATAATTTAACCCGTTACTTGGCATCTGTACCAACGTGGAAGGAAACTTCCTTGGAGAGCTGAGATTCGAACCCTATTGACCCTGTATCTAGAGAGCACAGATAACAGAACTTTCGTCGGCAGAGAAAGCAAACTAAACAGCCATTTTGTGCCCCGGAAAATGATCAGTCTTGATGAAGGATCGAAGGAGAAGGGTTGATAAGATCTTCAGAGTCTCCAGGAGGAGAATTATCTTCACCTATGATTCAAAGATTAACTACAGTTGATCCTGCAGTTTGTATTTAATAATAATGTAAAATAAATGTCTGTGCAAAGTTGGTGCGTTAACCGATTCAACCTGGCTTCTTACATTGAGTTTCTCTTTGTAAAGTTTCCTTTATTGAGTTCTTTATACGTGGGTTTCTCACCAAGTCTACAATTATATCATGTTGGAATCTTCAAACCCATGAGAATGATGTCAAACTTTATTTAGGTAAAACTCTTCTGCCTCCGTAATGGCTGACCTTCGTGATATAAAATAAATAGCAAAATATTCGGCATACCTCTGCCTATAATTTTCCCAATGGAACCTTCCGGAAAAATTCTATGGTTTTCACTATAGTTAACAAATAAGATTGAAGTTCTATAAACTTGGAATTATTAGAAAAGGTGAACATTTTTAAAGAAATCAAACATGAAATCTTTAATTCAATTGAAACTTTTCTTTTCGATTTACAAAAATTTGAAATTTTATTTATGCCTCAACGTGGCTTGATTATCAAAAAATAGTTTTATTTGGAAGAATTAGACACTTAAAAAAAATATTATTGAAAGGACGAGGATTTCGAGGTGGCTCGGACGAGAATATGAGGAGAATGTGGCTCGGACGAGCAATTGTTGTGGTTGGCGGCCTTCCTCCCCTCGTTTGACAGCTTGAAATAAATCAAAATTAAAATCAAAAGTCGTCTTCATTGCATTGTTATAATCGTCTACACTGTATATGTTAAAGATTGATTGATATAATAAAAATTGAAATAATTTTAGTTTAGTTTTTATAATATGCCGATTACACTGTGAGCTAGATATAGAAGGAGGGTGGAAAATTCATGGGACATGACTTTGTGACCTAGTAGTTCCTCCAGCTTTCATTTTACGCACAAAGGAGAGAAAACAAATTTATTTGGTTACATATATAAAAATCCAAAACATATTTCCTCTTCTCGAAAGCTCTTTAATAAGAGAAATTTTGATAAAAAACATTTAACCCTAACCTTGTAATTTGTTTGCCCTAGCACCCTCATTTTTGACACTATCACCGTGAAATTTTGTGACTTTTAAGAAAAAGGATTTAGGGTGGGGTACAGGGTGGAAAAAAGTCGGGTCTGTGAAAAAAAATCTAAAATAGCCCATGATCGTGTGACTAAAGCTACAGTTAGAGATCTAAATTCTATATTTTTGAAAAACCCTTGAAAAATGCATGTAGAAACATGTGTCACACTTTGATAAAAATATTTTTATCATTTTTTACCACTTTTTAGACATTTTTTCCACCCTCCCTAGCACCCAAACTATTACAGTTATCGGTCTAATTTTTTTTCTTTGGGCTGGCCATGAAATTATGGGTCTATGAACAAGCATTTCAACCCTGTACCTATTATCTAAGGCCTTTTTCTAGGGGGGAGCGACAAACGCTTCTCCCACCAGGCTATACATAGATTCAGACCCCCCCAGCCTTTATATGGTTAAGATATAACATATGCGAGTCTGAAAGCCGTATATCAATGCAATGAGTCGAATATTTTTTTATTTTGCGTAAGTGTTTTTTGTAATTTTTACGTTATTTTTCAATTGAAATATTCCCTGCAAAAGTGTAACCTGTGATAAAACACGTGAGTTGTTGGCATTCTTTGCCACATTGGCCTGAAATATAAACATAGTTAAAAACTGAACACTAGATTCGTAATTTTTTTAATTTTTTTAACATTTCAAACTGTGACTTTTTGATCTGACAGATGATTAGAAATCAAAGTATTTCGATCAAGTTTTTTAGTTACTAATCCTATAGTTCTATTTAGTTCACTAAGTCTTGTAAAAACTTAAACATTTGTTGATGGGGGCAATGTAGCGGAATTAACATTAAAAAAACCTAGTTCAGAAATGTTGGGTCTGAAAGCATTGATTGCAAAATGAGAAAATAAAAATGATGACGTCAATCAATAAGAAGAGCCAATCAATTGAAATATGTCAATTAGAGGGAAATTAAAACCTGGGTTAGGCAGAACAGAATACAAATAAATTGAAAACTAGAAATTAAAAAAAAGTAGATTAACATAGTTCAATTGCAACTCCAAAAATGATGTGAATTAAAATAATAAATTGCATTTCTAAAAACACTGACTGTAATAGGGAAAACGAAGAAAACCGAAGAAAGAAAATTAGAAATATCCAATTTATCTGTAACCTAGCCTAAAATGTTTATGTTTTTGTTTCTTTATTACTTTTTATCGTTTATAAATCTTTTTGCATACAGTGTACTCTGTATATACTATATAGTAACATGAACTATAGACAGGGGGGGAGCAGGTCAAATTCTTTCGACATCACGGGTACGACTTTGTGACCTTTTAGCTTCTCTAGCCTTGATTGTGCACACAAGTATCAGAAAATCAAAAAATAATTTCAAATAAAAGGAGCTATGATTAAAAAGATACAAGAATTTAAACTTACGTGAAATTTACTTCAGCTTGACGTGATGCAGATACATACCGGCCCAAAAAAATAAATTGCAATTGCAAATGCTGTGACTAATTATAAAAATGTAAGAAATTAAAAATTCGATTTAAAAAAAGTTAAAATATGTTTGCTGTCGCAGAGCTATATATTTTGAAACCCGTTCTTTTTCTCCTTTAGATAAATTCAAGCTGTAAAAATACCCTAAAAAAGGGAAATGATCAAAAATCCAAAATAAGAGAGGGGGTGCAGAGAGGGGGTGCAGGGAGTAAAAAGATTTTTAGAAAAATATAAATCTTACCTCGTCGTTGACTTAACTACAGGGGTTAACCCTTGTGATAGAAGGTTGCGCCACTTACTGTTGAATATTCATTTTAAATAGTGAATAATTTCTCCAAAAATAGATTAGAATTGATAAAAAGGTAGAAAAAATAACTTAATAACTTCCAAATTTGCTAGTTTTAGAAATAATAATAAAAAACGAGAATAAAATTGGGCGTTGGGCATTTCATAAAAAGACATGTCATAGAAAGACATTTCAGATAGGACATTTCATAAATAGGACATTTCATAGATAGGAAATTTCATAGACGGACATTTCATAGATAAGAGAAAATGTAAATGTTAATTTAATATGAAAAATATGATGATGGAAAGATAGATAGGCCAGTTCATAGATTGAACATTTCATAGATAGGACATTTCATAGATAAGACATTTCATAGATAAGACATTTCATATACAGAGAAGATTTTCCATAGAAAAAAGAAAATATGAAAATGAAAAACAAGAATTAATATCATTTGTAAAAAAAAATCTCCTATTTTTATGAAAAATCTTCTCTGTATATGAAATGCTCTATCTATGAAATGTCTTATCTATGAAATGTCTTTTCTATAAAATGTCCTATCTATGATATTGTTTTTATGAAATGTCTTTCTATGAAATGTCCCAATGCCTAAAATTACAAATATTGAGATAAATCTATTTACAACTTCCATTAAATCTAATTAGCCCTGAGAGGATTCTACCCAGTAAATAATGAGTACAGAGCTGAAAACTTTAGAATGAGATATCCTTAATCACGATCGCAACTAATCTGATTATATAATGTACAAAATTTTGATTTTATTCTTATAATCCTCTTTTTGGATATTTCTATTGTATAAAAGTTAGGTTTGATAACAATAACAGATACAATGCTATATCGATTGGACTAATATCCGACTGAATTAAATTCAGTTGTTCACAAGCAAAGTTATTTTTATTTATTCACTTTGGTTCACAAGTCGGCTTTTAGAGTATTTAAACAGATATAAATTTAATCATGTTAATATGAAATTATAAAAAAAAAAAATATTTTAGGACTAATGTCATTTTGAACGTTGGTCTTAATAAACATTAATCCAAGACTTACGGTCGTTCAATCGATGTTTAGTTCAATTTATATGACACTATCAACACCAGAAATCAAAACCGGTTTTTCAAAAGTTAAAGAGTACATCTTAACATGATACATCGAATTCTTGGATATTGAATGCGTTTAAAAATAATCGTGGGTTTAGTAAAACCAGGAAAACCATTAGTTTAAACATTAATCTTGATATCCAGCGTTCTAAAGTTTTCAGCTCTGAAATAATGAGACACATTTGGTGATACAGATGTTCTAGTCTGTCATGTCATGTCGGACCCATTTTACAAATTAAAGATTTGTTCTTCTTCTTTTGTTAGGGTGGCTTTATGTTTATTTTTGCTGTGCATAATATGAGATCAACGCTTGAACCAATTTTTCTTCTGGTGTCTGATTTTTGCTACATTTGAACCCATTTTGCTACATTTGAACCCAGTACTTCGGAGACATCAAAACATTTTATAAAGTGTCGTATTGGCATCTTTTTTTACTTTTATACATTAATCTCAGTAATTGTAATAATAAATAAATAGCCATGTAAATATGCAAGAATCGTTTTAAATATAATTTTTCAATTAATAAAAACTAAATATCTGCAGCAGTAAATTTTATAACTTCTTTCGATGTCTCCTAAGTACTGGGTTAAACTGTATGTTAATCTTTGGATCGGGCGTTGATCTAATATCTACATTTTTTGATACCGGGGTAATCATGTATCAAAAAGCGTGTAAACATGATATTCTCTAAACTTGCAGTACATTGTACATTACAAATGATTTAATGTTCTAAACTTAGACATAATGACATCATTAGCTTAAATCATGCGACATACTTAAATTATGCTATAAAATATGGACAGAGATAGATTAACTATTATATCTTGAATTCTTTAAACACGTACCTTAAACTTTAACTGTGCAATAATTACGTAATACGATGGTCTTGATTATGTGATATCAATAACACCATAGGAATTGAATCACGTCAATTTCTGTAAACTTTGTAGCCTAAGAGATTGAATAAAGTTAGTTGACTGAGACTCGGCTTTTGATTAAGCTATCATGAGCATATTAAGCATGAAAGAAAGCTTTTGTTCCCGTTGAAACATACAAACGGGAGATCTTGCTATTCGTTTTAGCATTGATAGCTAGTGCCTGATTGACAGAGATAGTTTATGAGATTATGCCTAGAGCATTGATTCAATATATCGGTAGAAAAAGAAAGCTTGGATCTTCGTTAGTTATACGAGTTGAGATTTGGACGGTGTGTTCTTTAGAACCAGGGAGTTAAGCCTGGTTGAGAAATTGCCTGTGTAGCAATTTTAATTGCCTTTGGGGCTTTTAGAACTAGGGGGTTAAGCCTGGTTGAGATTTAAACTGTATGTCCTTTAGAGCCGGGGATTTAAGTCTGATTGAGACATTGCCTGTGTGGCATTTAGAATCAAAGAGTTAGTCCTGGTTGATCTTGGCAACGAGTAGATCTGGATAGATACGCCTCGAGTGAATTCTTTTGGAGTAGGTATCAAGCATTTATCCTTAAATTTAAAAGTGATCACATAAGATATCGACACCACGCATTTAAGATTAACGACCAAAGTTCCGACTTTTGTGTAAAAAATGATCGCATTGCTCATGTAGAAAAAATAAAAAATCATAAACAAATTATGAATAAATCATCTAATTTATAGATAGAAATACGTCAATAATCTTAATTCATTCAAAAAATTTATTTTGTCATTTACGGTTGAAAGTTTTTAATTTATTTTTGTGAACTATTAAAGGTATTAAAAACATACTTTTAAAAACATTTTTTGTTTTGAATATTTTCCTAATGTTTACTAGGTTGAATATTAATCTTTGATCCTTCTGTGTGTTACTAACTGTAAAATTAAACCAAAATCTGAAAATGATTCAATTTAACAATTTAAAATAATAAGTAGATTTGAAATTTGAAGTTTAAAAAAAAATATTGATTAGATAAATGGTTGTTATCCATTTTATACCTATATTTAATTTGTTTTGTTATTTACTGAACAATATTCAAATAATTAGTATTATCATCTTTATCATTATTATTTTTCTTCTTCTTCTTCTTCTTCTTCTTANTCGGTCCAGCCGTTTTGGCCGGGTATATACAACATATATAATATAAATATATATATACGAATGTCTTGTTTTATTATATAGATAGAAGTTAAATGTTTTGAAACCTAGAAAGCTACAATATATTGCACAATATTGACCAGATAAAGGTTTCAAGGGTACTATTGTGAATCGTGAATTGTTATCTTTGCCTAGAGGGTCACTTTAAACTAGGCTTTTTATAGCTTCTGTGAACCATCTAATAAGAATAAGAACCATCTATGATTATCAAAATATATTTTTTTTTCAGAGCCTCAGATACACTTTACACCATGAACCAACCCATTAAAATTTCTAACTCATAATCACAAGTTAACAGAAATCACTCATAGAGACAAATTAATATAAGTTGACTCATAGAGACAATTAATGAAAATTGTCTCATAGAGACAAATTAATAGAAATATACTCATAGAAACATATTAATAGAAATTGACTCATAGAGACAAATTAATAGAAATTGACTAATAGAGACAAATTAATATAAGTTGACTCTTAGAAACATTTTAATGGATATTGACTCATAGAGACAAATAAATATAAATTCACTCATAAAGACAAATTAATAGAAATTGACTCACAGAGACAAATTAATATAAATTGACTCATAGAGACAAATTAATATAAATTGACTAACAGAGAGAAATTAATAGAAATTGACTCATAGAGACAAATTAAAATAAATTGACTAACAGAGAGAAATTAATATAAACTGACTCATAGAAAAATATTAATGGAAATTGACTCATAGATTCAAATTAATAGAAATTGACTCATACTCTTACTTTAACTTTAGTTCATCCACCCTATAACACCATTGAAATTTTGGGGAAATTCGTCTAATTGTAATACCACCTCGCCCCCTCCCTCCCCCTCACCTTAGAAAATTATTCTTAAACAAACTTCTTGAAAGTTTTAATACGATATTTCTTCCTTGACAAATTATACTTTTTGATTGATTTCCAAAGTGTGTAAATCATAATTATGTTGCAGTAATATTAATATTACTCTTGCAACTTTTGTTTATTTTTGGCTGGTTTCGTGATATACAGCATAATATTCTCGTACTGTTCTGCCAGTGCAGACTTAATGAAAACGAAAATTCTTTAACTCACGATATTTAAAATAACTTTCAGACATAAATGATGCATTGAGGCCCATAAAACTGTGGAATAGGAAGACGACTTCTACACTCAGGTTTTGAATTAATATAGTCTAACTTACATGAAACACAGCAATTATGCAGTGTACTACTCTGTGAAATTGTTTGTTTTAACAACGTCAAATATGGATAAAATGTCGTCATCCTACCATAATATTGTAATTGTCGTCATCCTACTATAATATTGTACATGTCGTCATCCTACCATAATAATATTGTGGGTCTCAATGCATATACTTCCTACAGACACCACAAACGATAATCTTATCATGTAATCAACATTTTTCATTGTTTTTTAACATTATGTGTTTCATAACTTTTTTGGATTTTTTCACGTAGTTTGTCTTAACTGTCAATAATATCCTGACATCTCTTGCATAACCTGGCTAAAAACCATCAGTTTGTTTGCCTGGGAAATATTGAGGGGAAATACTTATTTTGATTTATGCATTTTTGTTAAATCCGTCCTGATTGGGTGGTAACCCCCCCTTCCACTGAACTATACCGAAAAAGGTCAAATTTGTGCAAACTTACTGCTTAACTGTCAATAATATCCTGACATCTCTTGCATAACCTGGCTAAAAACCATCAGTTTGTTTGCCTGGGAAATATTGGGAGGAAATACTTATTTTGATTTATGCATTTTTGTTAAATCCGTCCTGATTGGGTGGGAATGCCCCCTTCCACTGAACTATACCGAAAAAGGTCAAATTTGTGCAAACTTACTGCTTTGCGATCTCTTTTATGTCAAATTCAATAAAAGCAATAACAAATTCTCCCGACAAATGCAAAACCACATTAAGCATTTCAATAAAATATGTTCAAAAATTATAATGTTACACGTTTTCTTAAAAGGATTTCGAAAAAAAAGAATTTCCAATTTCGGTAACTTTAATAATTTAGTTTAATTTAGATTTGAATTGATATGTTCAGCAATATTGTGCAGTACTTCATAACTCTTGAGATATTGTGATAAACTTCACAGTAATCCGTCTTGGCATATTTTCAATTTTCTAAGATTTTGGATTAACTGCTGATTTTCTCTAAATATACTAAATATGATAAATATGTTGTAGTACTGTAGTAAATGCCTTACTCCAATAATGTAAGTCAGTCTGTATTACCAAGGTTCAGACTACTCTAGAACTCTCACGCTCCCTCAATATACTTGGTTGGTATCAATCCAGATACAACCTCTGTAGAACTCCATGGTCTACAATAATGACTTAGTCTGTATGACCAAGGTTCAGACTACTCTAGAACTCTCATGTCCTCTCAATATACTTGGTTGGTATCAATCCAGATACAACCTCTGTAGAACTTCGTGGTCTACAGCAATGACTCAGTCTGTATCACCTAGGTTCAGACTACTCTAGAACTCTCATGTTCTCTCAATATACTTGGTTGGTATCAATCCAGATACAACCTCTGTAGAACTTCGTGGTCTAAAATAAAACTCAGTCTGTATCACTTAGGTTCAGACTACTCTAGAACGTTCACGTTCCCTCACTATACTTGGTTGGTATCAATCCAGATACAACCTCTGTAGAACTCCAGGTCTACAGCAATAACTCAGTATGTATCACCTATGTACAGACTGCTCTAGAACTCTCGCGTTCTCTCAATTTACTTGGTTGGTATCAATCCAGATACTACCTCTGTAGAACTCTGGGTCTACAGCAATGACTCAGTCTGTATCACCTACGTGCAGACTGCTCTAGAACTCTCATGTTCTCTCAATATACTTGGTTGGTATCAATCCAGATACAACCTCTGTAGAACTCTGGGTCTACAGCAATGACTCAGTCTGTATCACCTCTCAGTCGGTATCAATCTGGATATGACTTCAGAATGTATCACCAAGGTACAAACTGCCGTGGAACTACTTGGCCTACAATAAAACCTTGGGATGCATCAATATGGATACAACACTCTCTGTATTTTTACTAGTCGATATCTTTTAAGATACAACTCAGATCCATCACATTTGCTACACGAGGATATATTACTCTAACACTGTAATCATGGGGAGTACTTTTCCAACTAACGTATATTTTGAGTTCTATGATACAGGGTAAGTTAATGAATGTAATTACAAGTTTTACGTTATTATTTACAAGCATAGTGAAATTAATCGCAATACAGATTTTAAATATTTATATACAAGCGTAGTTAGGTTTACAGAAAATGTAAAACGTAATATATCTAGGTGTGTTCAGGTTTATAAATATGGGGTTTACTACAGTAAAACCCTTAATAACGAATACATCGAAAGAATTCATCAAATGTCGTATTCTTCACTTTCTGATAATGGAATGTTGCAGATATTTAGTTTTTTAATTAAATGATTATATGGAACTCTTTAAAACTGTTCCCGCATATTCATAGCCATTTATTTATTTTCGCAAATACTGAAATTAACGTAATATAGTATAAAACTCATTGGAAAATTGTCAAGACGACATTTGATAAATTCTTTCGATGTATTCGTTATTAAGGGTTTCACTGTACAATATTTATTAAAATGGTATAATTTATAATTTTTGATTATAATTGATCTTTTTATCAGTTTATTACGTGTAAAGCTCCACCCCCCCTACCCACCTGTATGACCAGGGGGCCGAATGACCAGCCTAGTAATATTAACTTGACTTCCATCATTTTCACTATCACTATCTCCCATAATTTCCTTCTAGATCAGCAATATTTTGCTGCAACAAGTCTGATTAAAAATAATGTTTATCTATCGATCCACCATCACATGTCTGGTGTTGAATTAATTTAAGTGAAGTTTAAGATTTAAGACGCAAATGTTCAGATTTTTTTATTTTTTAAGATTTAAATATTTCTTCAAAATGAAATTTTAGCTAGAATACATTACTTTTTGTTGGACAACAAAAAACATTTTTACAAGATGGTTTAGATACATAACATTTAATAATGCGAAAACGTCATTTTTATTTTATCAAAAAAACTGATTATACATGTATGACAAGTATTTTAGATCTGTTTGTGGTCTAACACCCTAATTAATTTTTGAAGTAAGGTTGTCATGCATTAAACTACATTCATACGAACATAAAGTTAAGTTAGGATGTAATGAATACTATTTGTATTCCGGTTCAAGATTGGAAAAAAACACACTAAAATAAAAAGTAAAAAAAAATTTAATGGTTTCGTAAAATTAGGGGGTTTACTTTTCTTATGTTTTCAGTTGTTTGAAGGCATAATTAGAAATTAATGTAACTTTTAATATTTATCATTTTTTCGACTTCATACATTTTAACTACTTTGTTAAAGTACTACGTTAAAATATTTTATAAATAAGGACTGGCATTGCATCTAATTGGTTTTCAAAAGAAACTTTTGCAAAAGACAACAAACAAACAGATATTTAATGACATTATATGAAATACAAAAAAGTAATTGCAAATTATAATTAAAAAGTGTTAAATTAAATAATTAAATAGAATTGATATAATTTTATAAATTACTTTTCCTAAAGTTTTTAATAAATTCCCCAAGGTGTGTACTTCTAGTGTAGGTAACTCAGATACTAGAGGCTTTAAGTAATCATGCAACAGTTGAGGTC